GTCAATCAGAAGCCTTAAGGCTAGATCACCCGAGGGCAATAATTTTTTAAGGCCGCCTAGGTCAAGCGGGAGCCTTAAGGCTAGATTACCTAGGGGCAATAATTTTTAAGGTCATTTGGGTAGATCAGAAGCCCCAGGGCCAAGTCTACCAAGACGAAGATACCGCGAAGAGCAAATGACGCCGACCCTATGATCGAATGGGTCGATCAGCTCGGCCCTAAGATAACACAGAAGGGTGATTGCTCGAAAAAACGAAGCTAACAACACACATAACGGCAAACACTCATAAAGAAAGGTAGCAACAACGCATAACGTCAAAAGAGTAGATAACTAATACACCAAGCGTCATCAAAGTAGCAAAATACACCAAGCGTCATCGAAGTAGCAAAATACATAAGCGCTAATAAGAGTTCTGCGCAAAATCATGAAAACAACATAGCAGTTCCGAAATAGCAACATCAAAAGAAAGTAGGAAACTACACTACGCGTCACGAGGGCGCTCAGCAGCATCAGCAGTCAGGTCCGCACCCGACTCAGCAGCAGGGGCAGTCGCAGAAGGAGTGGAGGGCAGGACCAACACCGTTTGCTCCGGTGGAGCAGAAGACGTGTGAGGCTCAGGAGGCTCGCCCGATTCCTTAGGGAGCGACGACTCTATGGGACCTTGGGAGTCAGCGTCATCCTCTGAATTGTCTTCCGACTCCTCTAACTCAGAGGGGGTCGGAGAAAGAGGGGGAGGCGGAGGAGGAGGCGGCAGCGGACCCGGCAAATCTACCTGGCCCTCAAGACCCGCAGCCTTCACCGCGTCACCAAGGGCCGGATCCCACCAAGGGTGATCATAGGGCAACGTGCCATCGCCCACAAACCCTCTGGGGTACGGCAGGTTGCGGCGCAATGCCTTGTTGCGAAAAGCCCCCGTGAAACCTTGGTCGACGGCCTGCTGCTGGGTACGTCTGATAGCGAGCCGTAGATACTGGCGCGTCGCTGGGACAAGCAGGTGAAGATAGGGGACCGAGTTGCGGTACGAGCTCAGCAGCTCGTTCCGATACGCGGCCAGAAAGCGTTGGCCCCCATCAGAGCATAAGAACCCCCTAAACCCCTCTTCACGAAAGGACTCGGCGGAGGCAGTATGACGAGCATTGGCCTCTTCCATCTGCCTAGACAGATCGGCCAACTTCTCCTTGAGCTCCTGATTCTTCTCCTTGAGCTCCTTCTCACGTTCAGTCAGCGTCTTTTCGAGGGCGGCGCACTTTCGCTCCGCAGTCTCCTGCCCCTTGAGGGCCACAGCCAGCTGACTCTTAAGGGCGTCGCCAGTGGACCGCGCTTTCCCGAGCTGTTTCTTCAGCTGATCGACTTCCCGTGGGTCAGCACCAGCGCGCCCGTCCACCTCGTCGAGAAGCAGAGAGCTCGCAGCCCCAAGAAACTATAAGAATAAGAAAGGAGTATCGTCATCATCGTCATCGATCAGAAAAATAAAAAACTTGATAAACTTAGGGAAATGACGGTCATACCTCGGCAAGTTTATGAACTGCCGTGCGGGCCCGTTCTCGGGGCCTACCCTCAAAACGCCGATTCTCGGAATCAGGCACAACCGAGCAGAGATACTTGGCGAGAACGGCAGGATCGGCGTCTTTCCCAAAGTCGGGTGGAGCAGTCACGCTATCAGCAAAGTCGGAGGGTCGAGCGCGCTTACGAGAATCGACCCCTTCGCGGTGGGGTGTGGGGTGAGTCGGACCGGGCCTCCCGACGCTCGGAGAGGGGATGGAGCCGACCACCTGACGGCTCGAGCGGTCGGGAGTCGAAACGGTACGACCGGAGGAAGCGTGCGCGTCGGCCCGACCGGAGGAAGCGTGCGCGTTGGTCCGTGAAGGAGGGTTCGCAGCGGGATGGGTCGACGGAGACCCCGTCCTATGGGAGGCGGACTGGCTTTGACTCCGAGTACGCACCGAGGGTCGGTCCGCCCGATCTCCATGGTTGGGCTCATCGTCGCGCACTTTCTTGGCCCTCGCTTGTTTCTTTTGCGCCATGCTTTTCTTGATAATGGCATCTGAAAATGACAAGTATAAATAGGTCAATACGAGTACATATCACAGATATAATAGCAAGAATAGGGATGACCCACTCAAGGTCATCCGTACCACTCACGGCCGACGCGGTCGACAGCGTCGACGTGGTCGACCGAACCACTCACGGCCAACGCGGTCGACAGCGTCGACGTGGTCGACCGGACCACTCGCGGTCGACCGGACCACTCACGGCCAACGCGGCCGACGCGGTCGATCGGTCCACTCGCGGTCGACCGGACTACTCGCGGTCGACCGGACCACTCGCGGTCGATCAGACCACTCGCGGCTGACGCCCGTCACTGACACAATCGACCCGTGACCCTTATGGTCGACCGGATCAACTCGCGGCCAACGTGGTAGACCGAACCACTCGCGGTCGACCAGACCGATTCGCGGTCAACACGGTCGAGGGGACCACTTAGCAGTTAGTCCACAACCGACCCGATCGACCGTCACCACCAATACGATCGACCCACATCACCTTCACCTAAGATTCTAGATCTTTTAAATGACATAATTGACCCATATGACTTGCGTCAACATACACACACGAAAGATAGAAAATAATAGCGTAAATGCGCGTAGAGGGGAACGAGCGGTCGGTACCTATATTGGCGGAAGGAGATGGCTCCTCAGTGGTCAAACCGGCATAATGGCGAAGGGCGACTGAAGAGGTAAGGGGTACTACGGCAATAGGCTCCTTATTCCAATCCTGGACAACGGATCTCCAAGGGGAATTTTTCTTGGGTTTACGCGGCGGGGCACGACGCTGGTGAAACCACACAGGCTCGAAAAAGAAAGTATCAGATGGAGGCCGAACGAAAAAGAACCTCGTCTTCCATAGGGAAATATTAGAAGGGAAATGCAGGATAAAATCGGCCCCGTTACGAGAAAGCGTATAGTGGCGTCCCGTTCTACCCGACCTCTGAAACCTCAAGTCATAGCAATAGAAGTAAAAATCGGGATCTAATCGCCCCAACCGGTGCTGGCACAAAATGGCAAAGGCTATCATGGTCCGGATGGCATTAGGGGGCAGTTGGTTCAATGGGAAGTTAAACACCCGACATAGACGCAAAAGGGGCTCAAGGCTAGAGAATCGGAGGCCAACACTAACTTGGTCCTTAAAAAACGTGTAACATTCGGAGGGCGGATCATCATACCTATCCGAAGGAGCCGGTTTCACAAACTCCCAACCGGTAGGCAACTCACACAGCTCCTTAAATTCGGCGATGTCGTCGGAGGACATGCGGGAAAAAACACTAGGTCCACTCTCGGGGTCGATAAACTCACCCGAGTCGGATGAAGAGGAAGCATGATTACCCGAGCCCGTAGGGCGGGTAGCACGCTCGCTCGAGTGGGCCGGAGGAGAGGCGCGGCTCCCCGAGCCACGCGAAGGAGAGGCGGGTTTACCCGGGCCGGTCACAAGAGAGGCGCCGTGACCCGAAATCGAGTCGGGCACGTCGGAAAAGGAGGGGATATCCGCAAGATCGAAAGGGACACCGTGCAATGAGTCTCCAAACCGTTGGAGTTCATCCCACGTGAACACGCCCTCGACCTCATCGACTAAACGAAGGGTGTCGACCTTAGGAGGAAGATCGGGAGGTATATCTACACAAGTGTACGAAAAGGGAAACTACATAAGGACTTTGGGCTAACCCCTTGGCTCAAACCCGCAAATCGAACCAAGGAAACGAAACGACGAAGCTACGATGTACCAAGAGCAACACAAGAAACAAGCGATTTTTAATTAAATTGGGAGGGTCCAAGGATACATACCCATAATTGAAGGTGGCTCGCGCTCGATCGAAGGGGTTAGTCGCCGGATAGAAGAACTCGTGGAAGGAGCACCGAGTAGAGGGATTCGCAAGTGCCCCGTCGGATGTGGGGATCCACGAAGAGAGAGCGCCGGGTCGTGAGAAGTGCAAGTAAGCCGCCGGATTGGTGGGCCCACCGCGGGTCACCGGGTCGGACGGTATGTGAGCGAGTCGCCGGACCGAAGGCGAGACGTCGCGTCGGATACGAGCAAAAAAAGAGGAGAAAGAGCAAGGATGGGGAGGGTTTTTGTAGAGAGAAGGAGAAGAAGACCTTTTGGTAAGAAAAAGGAGGATATTTATGAATGAAGGAAAATCCTAAAGGGAAGAAGAATGGATATGGACCACACAATATGGGTAGGTGAGAAGGTAGTTGAGGCACATGGTTTTGGAAAGAGAAAAAAAACATTGGTCAAAAAAAGCTACCTAAACATCAAATCAAGGCTCTTCAACCGACGAGGCCACCGGGTATAGTAGCGTAAAGACTTGGATATATACCCGACACTTCCACAATAATGATAATAATTCGCGCGGGCAGTAATATTTACGACAACACGAACTTCGTTTCGTATGCTCGTAAATAGGGGGGAGTAGTTGATGGGTATTATAGTATCGACTCGGTCCGGTTAAGCGAGGTCCATGGAACCGAGTTGAGCAAGCCGGAGGACCCAGCGACCGAGGACCCAACATCGACCCAATCATGGTCTCGACCAATCGACCCATTGACCCATCTGCCCTTTAATGTGCGCGGCAGGTAAAAACGCGTGGTGTAAGGTCGACTCAACCCACGAGAAGATCGGACCATAGGGCCACAATCGACCACGAGGGGTCGACCATAGGGAATCGACCCATGTGAGGTGCCCTAACGTTAACTGTGGCTCGATCCTTAGTAATGACGAGTGCTAAGCGGTCCGCATAGCCAAACACTATATATACGATAAGTTCGGAGAATGGAAGGTAAGACATCATTTATTACAATTACTGTTACATTCAATACACATTACAATTCTCTTGTTCCAAAATATTGACTTGGGCGTCGGAGGGTCTTACGCCGGAGCAATTCCGGCGTATTTGCAGGTACCGGCGATCACTCAAGCTTGGACCGGACCGAATTAAACGCATTTACGCCATAACCGTGAAGAACCCTTCGGAGGACCGGAGTCACTCATCTTGGACCATATCAAAAACCGTGCCCAGAATATTTATCAGGCCACCGGATGAGCTAGCCCAGGAGAAAAATCACATCCAATCCAATCTTCAAGTCCCCATTATAGATCTTAGTGGGGTCAACGAAGACGCTTGTGCGCGTGAGAAGATTATTGGTGAAGTGAAAAGGGCGTCGAGCGAATGGGGCTTTTTCCAGCTCGTCAATCACGGGATATCCCGGGAAGTCCTGGATAATATGCTGGACGGGATAAGGAAGTTCCACGAACAAGACGGCGAGGTGAAAAAGGAATTCAACACTCGCGATATGACGCGGAAAGTGAGATTTGGCAGCAATATTGATCTGTATCTGTCGCGTGCGGCCAATTGGAGGGACACGTTGGCGATTTCAGTGCAGAATTTTGGTAGTATTGAGCCTGTTGAGTTGCCTGAAATCTGCAGGTAAAAGTTAATTTAATTTTTATTTTATTTTAATTGATGTTGAAATGCTTCCGAGTGTGATTGTGAAGGTGGAAGGAAGACTGTATGCTGTCCACAGATAATATATATCCATATGATAATCTAGGAAATTTTTGGGGCTAAATTGCACATATAACACCTCATATTGTATTAAACAACTACAAACAAACAAGAGAAGGATTGGGGCATGTTTATATACAAAAATTTTCACTCAAAGTGGATTTTTTTTGGTTAATTAGAGTTAATTTGAAAAAAGATGGTATGATTTAGTCGTTAGTGGGATTTTGAATATATATTAAAATAATATTTAAAATAACATAATTAAATTTTTTTTTGTCGAAAAATAATTAAAATTGATTTAATGTAAAAGTAGGAGAGATATGATATGAAGTGATGATTAGTTAAAATTAGGAAATATTTTTTTTAACCTCCCAAAGTATGTCCGATTTTAGAGTTTTTCTTACAAACTTTTTTAGTTTCTTGACAATTTGCCTCCCATAGTAATCGAAACTCACAATTTGTCTCATCTATTGAATAATATGACACAAAAAAGTTTTTAACTCAATAACGATAAATTTTAAATTGATCTTTAAAATTGATTTAGGGTTGTTAAAGCCCATGGTGAGACGAAGAAAACGAGGTATGGTTTGTCAATTTTTGAAATTGATACATCCGTAATCGATCGACGAAGATAGTAGGAGTACGTGTGTATGGAAAAATTTTCAATTCAAGTTTCTGATAATCAGGATATCCAATTTTTGATTGTGAGGTGTCGAATGCAGGACCAATTTTCTAACGAGTAAATCTCATGAAAATCCAACAGTCGGATTTTGATCAGTACATAGAAATTACTTATCAACAGTTACATTTTTTTTAGGCTACTAACCAAAATTAGACCGTTGGATTTTCATAAGATTTACTTCGTTAGAAAACTCGTCCTCCAAGCTTTGAAATGACACATTTTAATCGAAAATCGGCTATCTTGATTATCAGAAAACTTGTATTGAATTTTTATCTATATACACGTGCTCCTACTATCTTCGTCGATCGATTATAGAGACATCAATGTGCAGAAATCAACAAACCATGCTTCATTTTGTTCGTCTCGACATGGACTTTAAAAGCCCTAAATCAATTTTAAAGATCAATCAAGAATTTATCGTTAATTTGTTAAAAACTTTTTTGTGCCATATTAGGATTTTCAATCGAGGAGGCAAATTGTTAGTTTCGATTACTACGGGAAGCAAATTAAAAAAAAAAAAAAAGTTCGTGAGGCAAACTCTAAGATCGGCCATACTTTAGGAGGTTAAAATTTTTTTTCCCTAAAATTATATGAGTGGGTGAATAGTGAATTAAAGTAGATTTGATGTGTAAGAATGATTAATGATATTATTTAATCATATTGATAATATTGAAGATATTGAAGTTGAATTAAAGTGGAGTTAGATTTTGAGTTGAATGAGATTTTGAAAATTTATATATATAAACATTTTATTATCTAATTATTATTATTATTATATATATATATATATATATATAGGGACTNNNTATATATAGGGACTCAACAATCAAGTATCTGGTCCAAGTGGGAAAAGTGGGAGAAACCTTGTTTGAGTTATTATCTGAGGCACTTGGTCTTAAACCAAACCACCTGAGATCCCTGGAATGTGGCAGGAATGGCACTTTTCTCGGGCACTATTACCCGGTTTGTCCCCAGCCAGACATAACCATCGGCACCAGTAAGCACACAGACCCTTCTTTTTTGACAATTCTCTTGCAGGATCAAATCGGGGGCCTCCAAGTTCTGCATCAGGATAAATACATCAATGTACAACCCCTGTCTGGTGCCTTGGTGGTCAACATTGGAGATATGTTGCAGGTTCTTTTATTACCGAATTCATCCTTTATATATGAGCTGAGACGTTGGGTATATGTTTCTATAGACAAAACTACAAATTTATAATTTCCTAAGTGGTAACGGACAACTACTTTCTCTAGTTTTTGTTTGATGGTAAATTTATCAACTTGTGCAGATCATTTCAAATGATGAGTTTGTAAGCCCGAATCACCGAGTTCTTGCCAACCGGGTAGGGCCAAGAATCTCGGTGGCAGGATTCTTTACCGGTGATGCTTTAAGTGGAAGGATATACGGTCCCATAAGAGAGTTGATATCGGAAAATAATCCACCACACTACAGAGAGTTTACAGCGCGAGACTATATAGCAAAGTTCTACATGCGCCCAGTCGATAAGTCAGGGCTCGACGAATTGAAGTTGAAAGAATAGCGAAAGAAAAAATAATAATACAATAAAATAAAAATAAAAAACCCATTGTATTTGATATGTGTCACTGGGAGTATAATAGGATGAATGTGGATCTTAGATTAGTGTGACTATATTTGATATGAGTCTGTACTCTTCTGAAGGGGTCATAGAGTACGTGAAAATAGTGGGAGTTAAATTATTTAAAAGCCATGTTAATTTAGTTAACGAATGTGATCATGTTGTTTTAATTCGTGTTTTATATATTTCTCTAGGTTGAATAGAATTTTGAATTTATCATTGAAATGTCTGATGGAAATGAATAAGTTCATTGAACTCGAATTATCTGGATTAACTGTGCTTTTATGGTTGTGGAAATGAATAAGTTCATTGAACTCGAATTATCTAGATTAACTGCACTTTTATGGTTGTTGTTGTTGTAAAAACGAGTTGAATATGTGTTGGACACAATGGTGCCGATCGTACCTAATAAGACTTTTTCTGGGTAATATGCATTTGACCATGATACTCATAAAAAGTATTAGGATGATATAATTTCAGTATAATGTGTCGTGTTGTCCTCTATGACAGGATGAATCCCAATGAATGTGAGAGCATTTAAAGAGACTTTATCCAGTCTCAAACCTTGGAATTTGAACTGTTGATAAATCTCTTAAATGCCGGCTACATGATGGGATAATGTTTTTGTGCATGTCGTGGAGATGATTTGACTGATTGAGAGTCTGACTTCATTGGAATGAAGCTTCGAAATCACGTCACTATGAATATCATCTTGCAGTCGCTCCAGTTTCATAATTTAACTTTATTGTGAAATTTTATATGGAATGATATGAGGACAACGATGTCTTAGTTGCACAACATGCTCAAGACTTACAATTCTTTCACTCTTAGGAAACGTTGTACTCATGGTGAGTTCTTCTGCTAAATCTAACCCAAGGGTAAGAATAAGCAGAAAAGAGACTGAATTTGTTTCTAGGCCTACAACCTAAGAGCCTAAGGAAGGGATGAACAAAAGGCTGAAATTGTTCAATGATGTATTTTCTGCAAAGCAAAGGGCGTTGGAAGAGAGACACAAGAGATAGAAGAGAGCAGAAAACCTATCGTGCACAACACACGATCGACCGCCGCCCCCTCTCTCTCTAGTTCCCATAGCCGAGCTTTGTCTTCGTTTTGTTGCTCCACCGATACAATTCAAAGAGGTGTTCGAGATATACAGTAGAACATCCCGAGGTACCGAGACCCCGTGATCATCAACCAGTGATCAACCCCATGACCGTCGGCCACCCGACCACCGTCGACAATCCTGCAGCCCCGACGATCCCAAACCTTTTTATACTTATATAGAAAGCATAAGAAACAACTCCCGGCAAAGACTACGCAATGAACCCGAAGAGTTGTTTACCTATACTTTGCTGCCCAAAGAGGCAGGCTAAAAAAAAAAGAAGCTAGCAACCACTGCCCTATAGGGCCTAGTTGAAGCTACTGTACAAAAAGAAAGGAAAAAAAGAGCTATACAACAAACTAACAGGAGCACTAACACACACCAAAGGCAAGAGAAAGAGCAACAACAAAGAGAGTCAAAAACCAACAGAGCAGCAAAAAAAAGATCCTAGACACACAGCCAAGACAACAGAATCACAGGATTAGCCTCAAAGCAAAAGATCCCAGACAGAGAGCAGGTGCAAAGCAAATAACTAGCAGTCTTCAGTCAACAACCAATCCTCACACCAAAACCAGACCCCATCCAACAATTATATCCACACACAACAGGACAAAGCACCAACTAACTAACAGAATAATCCACAAGCAATATTAAAGGAGATTGACAAGCCAGAGCAAAAGAAGCTATTGAGGGAGTAAGGAACTGAATTCCATCCAGTTATTAAAAGCTGTTTGGACAATAATTACCTCTGGCTTCCTAGAATTCTGAAATATCCAGTGGTTCTTGGATTTCCAGATTTCCCAGAGAAGGTAAGCAGTAAGTTGCAGACAATCATTAGATATAGGAGAGTTGTCTAAGGAGCAAAGCTGTGTCCACCAACCTCTGAATGATGAAGTGTCGAGGCTTACTCCATCCCATCTCACCGGGGAAAGTTTCCAAATTGATAAGGCTCTTGGACAATGAAAAAGAAGATGTTCCAATGTTTCCACTTCTTTGCCACAACCTTTGCAGATTTGATCCAATAATTTTTTTTTTCTTCCACAGATTGCTGGCAACAGGGAGAGAGTTAGTCACACAGTTTCATAGGAAATGTTTTAGCTTCCCTTGGATTTTGAGTGACCTTTACTGTTTTAAGCTAAATCCATGGATCTCCATTTACTCTCGATGAGGGAAGAATACACTGTTGATACTGCACATTTGCCTTTAGGATCTCCATACCAAATCAGCCTATCTTCTCCCGTAGGATCAAGTCCCTTGATCTTTAATATGGCTTCAATTTCTGCTGCAGTGAATAGTGAATGGAGAGTGTGAAGATCCCAACTTCTTTCTGTTTCTTCTTGTTTCGTTATCACTTCTACATGCTGACCTTGTACAAAATTTGGCTTCACTAAACTATGATTGATTGTGTAGGAATTTACCCCACCGTCTNTATTTTCACATTTACTACTTATAGTTGGTATGATTAAAAAAACTATTTTTTCTTTTTTTGTAGAAAATTGAATAAATCTCAAATGATTATCAGATAAAGGACGAAATTGCTAATTTTTAATATGCCACACAGTATCACAATGAGAAAAGCGGTTAGAGGATCAAAATACTAATTTTTGTCCAGATAATGGAACAAAATACAAAATGGACACTTTAGGAGATTAAATTTAAAATTAGGGTCTCATAACGAATCAAAAAACTATTTTAGCCATTTTTTAATATATATATTTTTAAATTAAAATATCGTATTTTCAAATATAATATAAATAAAAGTATGTTATTTGATTATGATTTTTGTTGAAACTTAAACCATGATGATAACCCATTTTCAAGTGATTGGTGGTCGTGACTATTGAGTTTGGCTTCAAACGTTTATTTCATTGTCAACTTTTGTGGAGTAGATCTCCTTTACAATTCCCTGGATAAATGTATGAACCAGATAAAGTTCTAGAGATAAGATCAGATTTTTTTCGTTTACCTAATTAAGTTTTT